TTACCAAGCTAGTTTTGTTCAGGCTACGATGGTTGTTGTTGCGCATTAGGTTCATATGTAAATTTTGGGTTGTGAACTTTTGCCTATACCTATATGACTTGGACTGTATATACATGAACTGCATATGTGACATTTGTGTATATGATGTATTTTTTAAGATCCTAGCTTTTAAACAATGCTCAATGGACGTTCTGTTATTATTTTTGGTATCTTCTTTCGCTTAAGGCCCCGTATTTGAATAAATATTATTTTGAAATTTTGTTCTAAGGCCTAAGTACAGGCTGGTCATGGACCAAACTTTTAAGGGCGGGTTTGGGTTGTCACAGTTGGTATCAGAGCACAAGTTAAGATCTCACACACGTGTCCATTGAGCATTAGCGTGTCTAGAATGCGTTGAAGTTGCACGTATTTCATAACAAGGTGATATGTTACGTGTTGAGCTTGGAAGATGTATGTGAGCTTGTGTAATAAGTTAAGTATTGAGATTGTGAATTAGAAGTTCTCAAGGAATTTTGGCGATAAGAGAAGATCAAGATATGTTTGTTTCTTTTAGCTTAGGTGTTGAGACTAAGGATTGAAAATCATTTGACAATTTGATAATTATAAGGAAATGGGAATGTGTTTGCTTAATAAATGTGGTATTGAGGTTGAGGTCAGGAATGATTATGGAATTTTGATGTTCTGATTAGAACGGTGTTGAGTACAAACATGCTGATTCATGGAAATACAATAGAATAAGAGATTTCGATCTTCACTTGAAGCTATGAAATTATATGGGTTGCATGTTAAATTAGACTTTGAGAATATGTGGGAGATTGAGCCATTTGATGACTAATGAAGTATGTGGAACTAGTGATTGAAATATTTGGTGATCGATAAAGCGTACGGAATTCTAGTGATTGAGTGGTAGGAAATTGTTTAATATGCATAAGGTTGGTGTTGTTAAAGACATAATACATGAGCCATAGAATCGAAGAATGTGTTGGGAAGTTTGTGGTAAGAAAGATAGATTTAATGAATGCAAAAAGTGTTAAGTCGAAATTAGTGTTGCTACATATGCTCAGACGACTATTGGAGAGTTCGAATTCTTTTGTGTAGGTAATTGAAATTTGAGCTGAAATGCTAAGATAATTAGAATAGGGACACTTCGATGTGTTAAGACCGTTACTTCAAGTGTTTAAGCTTGTTGCGAGTAAATTGTTTGTATGATTAGTCGGGCCTATTCATTTGTTGGAATCATTTCATTATGACCTGAATTGATGTTTGAGACTAAGATTATGTATTAAGAATTTCTTTGTTACTTGAAGGATCTACTTTATTGGAAACGTTATACAATGGATCTGATTTAATGTCCACCTTATAGATTCTTAGAATGTGTGATAAGTAAATGTTGTTAACATGCCGAAGCAAGTTATTTGTGGCTTCCGAATGTAAATGACCATCCTATTTAAGTTATTAACAAGCCGTGTAAGTTCTATGGGAACAAATAATAGGGTTAATGTGGCTAAGGAATTTGTGAACCAAGATTTGATTTTTATATTATGGCTATATTACATGCTCATCCTATGTTGAAGGCTCATGGATGCCAATAACAGGATATTTTGTGAATTATTTGGAGATAGATGTGGATAATAAAACAAGAATATATGAGTGGTATGAACAATGTGTTTTTTTGTTTTGATGTTATGTTTTGTATTTTGATGCTAGGAAGTTGACATTGAGACCTATCGTTACATTGCCCATTACAGAATAAATTTTGGTGACTCAACCAATTTGGGTCAATAAATAAATGATATTGAGTTAAACCCCTATGATGAGAAAATCAAATGGTGAGGAAGTCAGGTATGGAATGAGACAGAGTTGGTAAATTATTTGTAGTACAAGTGGCATAAGTTTGGAGGACCAAACTTCCTAAAGGAGGGAAGAACGTAACACCCCATCGTGTAATACTTTATATTTAATTAATGACGACGATTTGAAATTTATGGCCTACTATTCTAATTTAATTTGGGAATTATGAAAATTATGGAGACTAATTTGTATACGATTTTATGGGAGATTTATTTTGGAATTAAAACTTGAAAGCCTAAGTGGTTCAAGAAAGAATCATTAGTGAGTTGACTTATTTTTAATTTCGTGTATCGGACCATATGGGGGCGTAATTAAAAATTTGATTTAGATTTATAAAATTGAGATTTGATTTGTAACGCCCTCAAAATAAACCCAATGTATATATGTCATTGACATGCACTATTTAAAGAAAACAATTCATTAATTCATTCATCAGAGTATTACTAAATAAAAGCATTACATGTAACATCGAATAAAATGCCCTACAGGCTTACATCTTTCCAAGCCAACACTTGGATACAAAAAGATGAGTTCTAACTCAATACAAGAAAAGCCCTAGGCATGAATGTTTACATCTACTAACAATTAAAGACAATTCACTAAAGGTAGTCTTCTTGATCAAGTTTGCACTCCTCCAAACAACGT